CCCCCCCCCCCTCCCATCCTCCGTGACAAATTTTCATTTGCAACGTTGTATTTTTCGTTCGATAAGCTTTAAGCGAAATTCTCATTAAAACGCAGACGAGCAAGGCCTTTGACGTTCGTTCGCGCTCATGCAAACCAGACTTTGGCCCTTTGTTCGTGGTATTCGATATTTATATCAAAACATGTACAATTAAAACGCACGTAAACGCGCAATTGAAAATTATCACGAAGAAAAAATTGAATTCACCGAAAGGCCCTCTCTCTCTCTCTCTCTCTCTCTTTCGATCCCCTTTTCTCTCTCTCCCTCTCCCTGCTCCTTCTGTATTTTTCGGCAGTTTTCAGCCACTTTGTAGGAACGAAACAAAAGTTATTTGGTTTCGCGACTCACACTCCGACAGACGCGAAAGAGATTCATTTTGTAGCAGCCACGTTCGTCCCTCCCCCCCGTTTACCGTAGGGCCACCGAGGCGCATAGTGATGCAACGAGGTGGCCCTACGGTAAAATTTTTGCGGCGTAAGCACGCGCGTCGCACACTGGGCGTCACGATGCGACCGTATATTACGTTACCGCAGAATTATTCAATTTTAATCCCACGTCACTTCGCCGACGCTCGCACGACCACGCTCGCAAGATCTCCCATGTGCTTGACACGTGTGCGTCTTTTTTCGTTTTGCCCGCTCGCTGCTGCTGCTTATTACCAGCAGTGTAAACGCGGTACCCTCCGGACCCGACGTTAGGTGTAGGGTGTAGTAGTACGTATAGCTTTAAAGCCGACGTAATTGGAAATGAAGGTAACTCGATCGCTAACTCGCGATCTCATTTACTCGGCTCTCTCTCGATGACGACGCGCGACGAAGCTCAACGAATTTCCGTCGTACCCGAGAGAGAGAGAGAGAGAGTCGTCATGGCCGGGCGTATTTGTAAAAAAGGCGTTCTTCTCGATTTCAGGGATCCTCGGCGACTGTCTTCCGCCGGAACCGCCGAAATACGGCAGAGTGATGACGAAGTATTATCCGGATGGGGTTCTGCATGCGATGTTCTGGTGCGACGAAGGCCGAAGAGTCAAGGGTCGCAAGGTGATTGCGTGCATCAACGACGGTTGGAGCCATCCCAGCCCGGTCTGCGAACCTATCGGTAAGATGTCGCATTTACTTCAACTTCTGCTTCGTTCGCGTTATACCTCGTTACACGAGAGAGATTACTCCGCGCGTCGTGGCCGCGTCTAATCCGTCCGGTGCGCGCGATCGCGCGCTGCCCAATTCGCCGCGCTTCTCCCTTCGATTCGTCGCGCCCACCATTTTCCCCGGTCGAGGGGAAAGGCGCACAATGAAGAGGAGGAGCGGGTAATGGGGTATTGAATAAAGAGGGAATCAGGAGCGAGGAATTAAATGTTCGCAATGTGGACAATGTTATGTTTCGATGAGGGAGTAGGGAAACTGCACGGGGAAACATATAATTTGCCGGCGTAGCAAATCTCGTGCTGTCGCAGCATCGATCTCGTCAGTTACCACGGCGAGACGATTGCTCTTAAGATTACCAATATTGCCGTTTGCTCACGAAAAGAAGAACAGAAATTATATAACTAATATTACAACGGTGAAATTATTTTGTCCGTGTTAAGAACAGTATTTTGCTACTTGCTGGATATATGGACGATCAATACTCTCAACAAATCTTCCTGCTGCCCAAAGGAATTTCTTTTGCCGTCCAAACACATTTTCTTTCGCTGTCACTGCCGTTGACAAACATTTGATGTACCAGCAAAATTTGTCTTCGTGTAGAATCGAGCGGATCGAAGTAACATCTGCGTAATATATTCATGCACAGAGAGAGAGAGAGAGAGAGAGAAAGAGGGGGACACATTCGTGAAGCGGACCCGCACTTCCTCGTCGGGGACGATTAGTTAGGCCGTGATCGCGATCTCCACGTCGATCTCTATAATCGCCCGCCACTCGTCGTTTCGGCTCAATTGCCATTTGCCTCGCGTTCCCGGTACGCATTCGTCATCTTCTTCGGCTGCGGGCCGCGCGACTTATCGCGATCTCTCGACGATTGCTCGTAATGCCGCGGCTGTAACCGAGCCAAATGTAACCGAGCTGTCTGGCCAGACGCGATATACGAACCGTGTTATCGTGTAATTACGATCCCCCTCGCGCTGCCGATGAAAAGTATTTTATTACACGAATCAATTAATCTCTTTTCCCCGGATATTTCCTTTTCTCTTCCTTTCCCCCCCTCTCTCTCTCTCTCTCTCTCGGCGACTCTCGGCAATATTGCGTTCAATCGTGTATGAATCCTAGGACTCGCGTTTGCTAATAAAGTCTCTCTCTCTCTCTCTCTCTCTCCCTCGTTCCCGCTCGAATTACTCTCTTTGAATTAATTAAATGAAAATTCAAGAGTGAATCGCGATCCGCGCGTATCGTGTCACGTATAATGTCGCTCGCAGTGAGTCGACGCGGCATTTATTCCGGGGGCTGATCGACGTAAGTGAATTATCCGCATGAAAGGGAGAGAGCCTAACTCCTCGTGCACCGACGCACGTACGTTCGACAACGGACAGATCCGTTTATCCGCGAGACGCGCCGACCTGACGAAATAAAGGGACATGGGGAGGACGAAACTCGCTCTTAACATTGTAATGCGAGCCGGGCGTTCGCATGCTCGGTCGAAAATCGACGATCGACCGAGGAGCGTCGATCGATGCGCGCGAACGGAGTTTCAGCGCCGGAGCTGAGCTCCGCTCCCGTCCGCCGCGATCTTATCGTCGCGCGCTCCAGAAATAGATTTGACTCTGCGTGCGTGACGTATGCATGTGTACATGACGGCGTTTCGCGTATCGAAAAACGTTACCGGTGCGACGCGAGTAATTATCGGAGGAGGAACGACTAAAAGCGCGCGGCCGGCGCGCGCGAAATTGCAATCTGCGCGACCGTCCGCGCGCGCGAGAGAAAAATTGAGAGAGAGAGAGAGAGAGAGAGAGACGTCGCATTAATCTTCCGCTCCAGTTAAGCCCGATCGGGATTATATTTAAAATCGCGGTCTTATAAACGATACGTCAGGAAGTGCCGAAGAAAAGTTTCGTAGAACAATTCACCCAGGCCGGCCGTTCCCTATGATTTATGGAAACACGACTCCACCGTTGGGATTCAATTTTCACCGATGCTCAAGTTATCGGCATATCTTAAGCCGAAGGGAAGGGGAAAAGAGGGGAGGGGGATTGGCACTGTTCCCGACTTCGGATATATAGGGTGTCCTCCTATTCTTCGCGTTTCCTTTCGAAGCCCTTCAGTCGATAGACCGAACTTTCCGTTTAATCAAGAGAAGGAGAGACGGAGGAGTGAAGAGGCGCACAGAATTTACCCCGGCTTTACTACCCCCGTGATTCCCTCCCTCGGCTATTACCAAACAATCGATTTCGCTCCCCCCCCTTCCCCGCGTGTATATTTTCGCGCACATTTTCGCGAACACGAGTCGCGACTCCGAACGATGGACACTTAAATCGGCGTTTACAAGCGCGACGTTGTTGATCGCGAACGATCGTCCGCGGTCAACCTCCCCTCGTTACATTCCGCCGGCGAGCTCGCCGGCGGGATTCCGGGGCCGGGAAAATTCGCGGAGTGGCGTTTCGGTACTTTCAGGAACGCGCCTCGTTCCATCGCGCACGTGCTATCGGCGGCACGTAATTCGCCGACATGGCATAGCTCGCATTCGCCTCGATGCAGATAAGCCGCCAAGTCATACACCGCCGCGGACGTTGCACGCATATGTATACACACGTCCTCACCCCCTTCTCACTCTCTCTCTCTCTCTCTCTCTCTCTCTCTCTCTTTGGATTTAGCTCGGCCACGGGTGCGCGCGCGGCGAGACGGAGAACGAGAAGCGAGCTTGCACGCCTGCTTGCCAAGCTTGTCTCTACTCAATTATTCCGCTCGGATGCCCGGAAGTCATTAGAAAAAACGGCGCGAGGTATTAAAGAGCGAGGGTGGAAAGAGCGACGACGAGGAGGAGGAGGAGAGGGAGAACAGGGGGCTGAAATATGAGAGAGGAATGTCGACGTAGGGACGGGCGTCACCTCGACGGCGGTGAGAGGGGCCGGTCGGCAATCATCACCCCGACCTGATGAATGATTCCCGAAAGTAATTCCCGCGAGTATTACGCGGTCTATTAAAGGGGAACGACACCGGGCGCGTGCACCTTTATGCAAACTAATTCCGGCGAGCTAACGCGCGGCCGGCCGGGCGCTTTATGCATCATCCAGGTGATACGGGAACGCGCGTAAAAGATTCATTATCTGATGGCAATCTCATCCGCACGGTAAAAGACGGACCTGTCCCGCGCACCGTCGGACTACCAGTGTATATCTGATGAGATTAATCCTCTCGCGCGCGCGATAACGTTACGCTCGAATATATATATATCTCTCCCTCTCTGGGAAACATTTTTGCCCGCTGCAAAGCGAATATCCGATTTAAAGTCCATTTGTGATGAGCGCGCGCGTGTCGACGATTTAATTAAAATTCCTTTAATTATAATTACGAAGTGAATATTTTATTTGTGCATGCGCGCGCCCGCCCGTTTGTAGTACATTCGCGCTCGCCGCCGATGTTTCGCGCGGTATCTGATAATTCCAGTGCGTCGACGAGCGGTCGGTACGGCTCGGACTTGACTTTTAATTACTTCGGCTCGCGACTCCGCCGGCTGTCGCGCCTTCAACCGTTTTAACTGCCGTGTAATCAGTAAGAAACCGCTCGGCTGACGCACGCGTCGTCACGCGTTTTGCCTGTGTAGAAGAATGGCGCTCTTTTCGCAATGACATCTTCGTCGGCGACGAGCCGGCACGGGAGGACGAGCCCCAGGAAGTCGGCTTGGTGCAAACTGCGAAGGATCGCTCGCAGAATGAATCGCGAACGGAGGAACACGGGGGGAGCGATCTGAAGAAACGCAGAAGGGCGAGGCAGCGCAGGAAGGACGGGGTGAAAAGGAGGAGGAAGACGAGCCAAGAGGAGTCCCTGTCGAGATTAAATGAGACGGTGGTGTCTCAATTAGACACCAGCTGCGCCAGGAGGATCCCCAAGAAGAGATCCGCCAAGGCACCGACGATCGAACACGCTCATAAGCCGAGATACGCTAGGTCATTGTAGCCGCATATCTTTAGATTAAGGCAAATTCTCGCGCGAGACTCCGATCACGAGAGAATGACGGGAAACACGATTAATTCGTTCCGGCCGAGGCTTTCTAAATTATTGCTATATATTCTTGGGTAATTGTACGATAATTAACGATACGTTATGACAGCTCTCAGTGCAGTATAGTTTCAAGGTCTCGGGGAAAACTCGTTTCTTTCTCTCAAGTTTTCCGCGGATTTTCCTGCCTTTTATTCCAAAGAGTGCGATGATTCGTTTAGAGAAATTGACGTTTGTTCGATTAAAAGCCACTTCTTACTTGTTATTACGCATTCATTTCTTACTGTGAGAAACTAAATCAGCGGGAAAATTCGAGGGAAACGGGTTCTTTTTCCCGAAATTTCGGAAACTATGCCCATGTAGATTTGAGCGCTCGGAGGAAGGAGACGCGAAATGACCGGGCGCATCGTTTCGTAGGAGGAGGAACGTACTGCCGCCGTATAATCGGTACCTCGTCGCGGTTTACAAGTGCGCGGATAATTATGTTTTCGTGGACTCGACGACCGACAGACTTTTTTGCAGCAACCGCACCTGGCTTGGCCGCCGACCGAAGTGCGTGAGGGAGAGCCGTAAGTCTGTTCGGATATCATTTTCGATTATCCCGTACGCCGTTGTTATATCACGACCCTATATATATAATAAGCACACACACACACACACACACACACACACACACACACACACGAGATAAACAGAGCACGCGGGCCGTTCGCTCGTAATTACATCTCCCCTCCCCCCTCCGACATGACACATCCTCTTACAGAGTCTGTTTGTCTGTTTATCGAGCGTTTACTGTCTCAGAGCCGGCGATCGATAAAGCGAAACGTTGCGATCAAGATAGAGGTGAGTGCGAGCACGTGTGCGAAGACACGCCGACCGGTATAAAGTGCTCCTGCTTCGATGGATTTCGAGCTGAGGGATCGTCCTGTATAGGTAATCCGAAACACATCCCGCTCTCTTGCACGCAGACGCAATCAACGATCGCGTATATCTCGCACTTTGGGAATTTTTTCCTTTTTTTTTTTCCGAGGGAGGAACCCTCGACACCTGATATTTCCCCCGCTATCTCATATTCCCACCGAAATTCGAACACCTACCCCCCGTTCCCTCGCGCGTCCGCCGGTATCGATTTGTCGTGTTTACTGTTTTCTACTTCGTCTTCCTCCTCCTCCCGGTGCCGCGCCAATGTTGCGTCTATTGTGCGCGAAATTATGCGATTTAACCGCGAAAATAATGTTCGTCGTTTCAACACCGGGTGTAAGGTGAAAATATAATAAATTTCCACGCGCGCTCAACCGCTCGTTCGGCGTGCGAGCCGCAATTTCGGCGCTCCCGAAAGCGCCTTAATAACGGTATTATCGGTTTCGGCATGTATCGGATTATTTAAGAGTCAGATTGCGCATATTGTTGCGAGAGATATCAATTGATATCGAGTTTGAAAGCCGCCGTCGAATTATTCGAATGTTCCGCTGTATTTACCGCGGACTTTTCCAAATCGATTTTCACGTTCTTTTTGCGCTCGTCCTAGTCTATACAGTACGCAGGAGGGGGAGGGGGAGGGAGGGGTGTTTTGCGCGTCGTATCGCTGCAATTGTAGGTCGATGATTGCCCGACGTGCAACCCGATAGTCAGTCGCCACACGTGATTCTCCGGCGTGATTAACAACGCACATCTGAAATGCCACTAAATTCATTTATAGTGGAACAATAATAAACATACAACTGATGAGAAAGATGTTTATTTTATATATATATATATTTGAGCACAAACTGAAACGAGAAGTCCGATAATCCAGTCCAAATTTGTATATTCGTGTTATCGATTTCCAACAGTTTCCACCATTTCCTGCCTGATTATGGAATATACAGGAGAGGGTGGTATTAAGGTTTTTGCAGATATTACGGCTTCTCCCTCCCCTTAATATCTCCGCTATTCTAGCGATTATTTATCGAAATCATTTATTTAGTAGCCGGCTGTTACGTAATGGCGCTAATATGCCAATAGCTGCCAATTGTTACAACGAATTTTTACTTTCGAGTATTTCGAAATGTTCTCAAGGTGCAGAGAGAAATGTTGACGGTGCTCGTAATTCTAAGTGTGACAGATATTCGTGAAAAATTTCAAGGTAAACAAAACGTATTTGTATGTATCTCGAAGAGGAAGAGTTTCCGAACCTATATTTACATGACCTTTTTTCATTCTTAAGAAGAATAGGAACGCCACCAAAGTGGGACAACCTGTTTCAGTGTCACTCTGTATATAACCGAGAACGTTTTATTCGTTACTTAACGTTTTAATCCTCTGTACACACTTCGAGTTATGCAAAGTTAAACAACACCATAGTATTTTTGCTAATTTGACTCCCCACCAAGATAGATTTGATATAACCTCAAATTTTTATGTCGAAGAGATTTTTATGTCGAAGTAGATTATTCGATAAGACAATAATTCGAGTTAAGCTTGAAAGTCTATTTGTTTTGTAGGAATTATTCTTTTAACAGTTTGTATCCACCTATCAAGTGAATTAATGTAAACATTAAAAGTTTACGTTTATTTACATTTCATTGTTGTCTTTCCTGAATATTTTTTTGAGTAAAATATATAAATATGTAAAATTCGTAGCAAAACACTATGTTTTTTTTAAAGAAAATCAATATTTTAAATCTATTTTAGTGGGAAGCTACATTACCATCTCTGTTTTTTCGACCCATTTTGTAGTGTCGCCACATTTTTATAAATAACGAATATTTCGTAAAATAATAGGGCTCTCACGGTATAGAATCAAAAAATGAAAATAATGAAGGTATATGTGAGCCGACGTTAAATATTGTAACGCGTTTTAGAAATCAAATCACATCACCTAATTGACATATAAAATTTGCTTTTATGTACTTCGATCTCTAAAACGCATTGAAATATTTAGCGTCGGCTCATACATACCTTTATTATTTCAACTTTTTGACAATAAAATTTCATAACTCTGATCCTAGAGTCGAACGAGCAATTTTGACGAATCTAATCGTTAAGTTTTCAATGTAAACTATCGATTGTTGACAAAATTATTGCACAAAATATAAAAAGGAAGCCATAGTACGACTTTCTCCTCTAAGCGCACAAACTGTTTGTAAAAAAAATGTGAAAAATGGACTGATCTCGTTGACGATTTTATCGATCGCGGAGAATTAACGCGTGCATCATCGTCGATCAATCTAGTCCTCTTCTCCTGAATGTCCTTTCAGACGTCGACGAGTGTGCCGAAGGCACAGCAGGATGCGCCGACATCTGCCGCAACGAACTCGGCTCGTATTCCTGCGAGTGTCATCATGGTTTTCAGCTCGGGGCCGACGGTCGCACTTGCCAAGGTTAGTGTCGCGAGCAGCTCTTCTGAGAGAGACATTCATTCGAGTCTTTGGAACTGTGGAACACGGCGTGTGTTACACTTTTTCTTTTTTTTTTTTTTCGACACATTTATATCGGCGCGTTACGTTGCATCCGGGATAATCGATGTGGAACATTCCGGGCGCGTGTTTCGTTCCACCTCGCCTCTCGATTTAATTCGCGCTCGCGTGGTGGTAAATATCGGGTGACACGCAAGAGCGCAATTTTTCTGTAATTCCGTACAAGTCGAGACGAAATCATCCCCTCGGCCGAGAATACACACGTGACGATGCATTGTCCAGATGTCAACGAGTGCCTCTCGAACAATGGACACGGCCCTTGCCAAGGCACTTGTCGCAATCTCGAAGGTGGCTATGAGTGCAGTTGCGCGGACATTCCCGGGTACAAATTAGCCGCCGACAATCACGCCTGCGAGGACATCGACGAGTGCGCGCTGAACAACGCAAACTGTTCCCATTTGTGCCTGAATACGCCTGGAAGCGCCTTTTGCCTCTGCCCGGACGGCTTTTATCTCACGGACAATTGGAAGACTTGTCACGGTATTGTATGGTTCACGTTCGAATTTAATTTTAAATGGATCGCCTTAATTTCATTGAATCGCGTGTCTGATCTAAGTTCGGTCGCGAAATTTTATCGCCAAATTTACAACCGGCCGACAGGTGAAAAGAATTCGTATTCGTCTTCTTTCCTCAGATATTAACGAATGCGAGATCACACCACGGATTTGCCCCGAGGACATGGATTGTGAAAATACCGTAGGATCTTACAAATGCGTCAACAAGTCGCATCCGCATAAAGTGACGAAGGTCCTGCGAGAGGAGGATTACGACGGTGAGAGTGAAAACGACGACGACGACGACGAGGACGACGATGATGACGATTACGGTGAAGAGATTACCGAAAATCCGGAGAGTGCAAAGTGCGAGGACGGCTTCAGGAGGAGCGAAAATTTGGAGTGTGTTGGTGAGTGTTACTCGGAGAACCTTAAATCCTTTTTCTATCGAAAACAACATTTTCGTAATGCACTTCATGTCGTAACGAGTGTTTCTTTTTCTTTTTTCTTTTTTGGACGAAGGGAAGATCGACGTCCCTTCCGAGCGAAATTAATCAGAATCATCATGGGAAAGTTTCCTTCGAAAAGTAACAATTACATTTATTACCGTTTGGAGGAAAAGCCCCAAAACTGAAGCACCATTTTGTTTTTTGACTCTGAAAAAAATAGGAAATTATTAAAAAAAGAATGAAGTAAAGGTAAAATTACATCATTTTGTACATTTATTATATGTCTTTACATGTTATTTTTAATCTCACATATTTTTTGAAAACTTTAAAAATTTTACGATGTATATTGCTCCTTTGTTATATGGAAAGGGATTACCTGACTTTCTTCCGGCCATCTTAATTAAACAAACCAGAAAAACAGGGGAAAATCAATCACTTGTAGCTTCAACTGTATTCTATGAAATGATACTTCACAATAAAGTTCAGGTGTGTCGGTTTACAGTACAATCTAACCTCGACTCTTCTCGCGTGGTTCAGTGGATAGAAATTGGCATAAGATTCAAAGAAACAGTTAAGAAGTTCAATAGCATCGTCGAATGAATTACTTACGGCCAGTTTGTTACTTTAATTTTCGCGGGAAAATAGCTCGATAAAAATTTCAGCGCAGCGAAAAGTCAAACGACGCTAATAATGCAACCGAACGTGCCTGCGAACGGAAACTGCCACTTCAACACTCGCTATTGTACACGGTAGACAAAGTTCATGTATTGTATCCGACAGTGTATTGTGTATTATGTACTATATATCGTCGGTTTACCACACCTGTATCAATTTTGGTGCTTTTCCTCCTCCCCTAAAAAATGTAACCGCGTGTTACCGCTATTGTTGAAAAAATAACGCCGTTGCCGGGAGGAGTAACATGTAACCACACTACTTTACAAGTCACTTTTCTCAGTAACCAGCCGCAAGCGGAGCCTTACTTTCCGCTCCCTGAGAGCTCACATCGAGCGTTTCGGCGACATTTGAAATTCTCCCACCCTCAGATATAAACGAGTGCGTCGAGGTGCACGACTGCCAGCACGAGTGCGTGAACGAGCCGGGCAGCTACCGTTGCGTGTGCCGCAGCGGCTACGAGCTCGACGAGGACGGCGTGGGGTGCCGGGACGTGGACGAGTGCGAGAAGGCGTCCCGGCCGTGTTCCCACGTCTGTCGCAACACCGTGGGCGCGTACGCGTGCGAGTGTCCGGCGGGCCTCGTCCTGGCGAGGGATAATGCGACTTGCACGGAGTCCCCGAGGAGGAGCTGCGCCTCCTCGCCGAGTCCTTGCTCGCACCGGTGCGAGGACACGGAGGACGGGGGGCCGCGATGCGCCTGTCCGCAGGGATACGAGCTGTCGGACGACCGAGCGACTTGCAAGGACATCGACGAGTGCGCCCGACAGCCCTGCTCGCACTCCTGCGTCAACCTGGACGGCGACTTCGTCTGCACGTGTCCGGCCGGCCTCGAGCTCACCGAGGAATCTAAGTTCGACTGCGCCGACGTGGACGAGTGCGACCGGGGCATCAGCGGTTGCCAACAGGGCTGCAGGAACCTGCACGGCGGTTACAAGTGCACCTGCTTCGCCGGGTTCGACTTGGACGCCGACAACAGGTCCTGCGTCGCGCTGGAAGACCCGTGCTCGCGAGACGTTTGCTCGCACGGCTGCGAGAATCACGACGGAGAGTACAGGTGCACCTGTCCGGCGGGACGTCGTCTCGAGCAGGACGAGCGCACGTGTGTCGACGTGGACGAGTGCGCGGGGGACTCGCACGGATGCTCGCACGAGTGCGTGAACGCGGAAGGCTCTTACAGCTGCGAGTGCCCGGCGGGACACGAGGTAGGCGAGGACGGCAGGACCTGCGAGGAAGTGGACGAGTGCGAGCGCGGCACGCATCGGTGCTCCCACGACTGCGTGAATCTGCCGGGGTCTTACGAGTGCGGCTGTCCCGACGGCATGTCCTTGGACGACTCGGGGAGGAGCTGCGTCCTTTCCGACAGGTGTGAACTTGCGAATTGCAGCCACAGCTGCGAACTGGATCAGGACACGTCGCACAGATGCGTCTGTCGGGACGGGTACGTTCTGCAGGAGGACGGCAGGACCTGCCAGGACCTCGACGAGTGCCTCGAGAACGAGCACGCTTGTTCGCACGAATGCGTCAACGTTCCCGGGAGTTTCGAGTGCGCTTGTCCGCAGGACATGAGTCTCCTGGAGGACGGCTCGACCTGCGAGAAAATATGTCCTCATGGGCTGCACTTGGGCGACGGTGGTCAGTGTCAGGACATCGACGAGTGTCACGAGGATACTCACGAGTGCTCGCATCGGTGCGTCAACGTTTACGCGACTTACCGTTGCGAGTGTCCTGCCGGTTGGCTCCTGGAGAGCGACGGTCTGACCTGCGCGAGAATCGATCCCTGCGTCAACTCGTCCTGCTCGCACTTGTGCTCCCCGACGGGGGCCTCGAGTTACAGATGCGAGTGTCCTTCGGGTTACTTCCTGGACGAAGATGGTAGCATTTGCAGGGACAAGGACGAATGCGAGGACGACGAGACGAACGATTGCAGCCACGAGTGCGGGAACCTCGAAGGATCCTACTCGTGCTCCTGCCCGACGGGATTCGAGCTGGGGCGGGATAATCGCACGTGCGTCGTCGTCCGAACGGAGTGTCCAGGAGTCTCCTCGCGGGGAGACGGCAACTGCACTTGTCCCGAGGGACACGTCTACTCGCAGGACGAAGACGCCTGCAGAGACGTCGACGAGTGCCAGGAAACGCACAACTGCTCTCACGGTTGCGTCAACACCGACGGCTCTTACCACTGCCGATGTCCCGCCGGCTGGCGTCTGCTGGGAGACGGCAGGACCTGCGAATCGCCGAGCGATCCTTGCGCCAAGGATCACGGTTGCTCGCACACGTGCGAGCAGGACGACGGCCGGGTTCGCTGCGGCTGTCCGGAGGGATACCAGTTGCAGGACGACGAGAAGACCTGCCGGGACGTGGACGAGTGCCTCGAAGGATCTCACGCGTGCAGTCACGCGTGCGCGAACACCGAAGGCGCTTATCACTGCGAGTGTCCCGTGGGCTACAGACTGGGCGACGATCGCAGGACTTGCGAGGACGACTGCCCGAACGGCACTCTCAGCTGCACGTGTCCGTCGGACGACGGCAGGACTTGCGTCCGGCGGAACCTGTGTCTCGTCGAGAACGGCGGATGCTCGGACGGCTGCGTCTTCACCGGCGACTCGGTGGTCTGCGAGTGTCCCCACGGGTCCGAGCTGTCGGCGGACGGTGCGACCTGCGAGAAGATCGATCCCTGCGGCCAGGACCACGGCTGCTCGCACGAGTGCGTCGGCAAGGCCGATGGCGCGCCTCACTGTCGGTGTCCCGTGGGATACGCTCTCTCGAGCGAGGACAACAAGACCTGCGAGGACGTCAACGAGTGTATCCGTGACAACGGCGGGTGTTCCCACCTCTGCGCGAACACGGAAGGCGGCGTGGAGTGCGCGTGTCCCGACAACTACAAGCTGCTGACGGACGACAACAGGACGTGCGTCGAGATAAACGCCTGCTCCATCGACAACGGCGGGTGTTCGCACTTCTGCCATCACGAGGAGGACGGCCGAGCGTCCTGCTCCTGCCCGGCCGGCATGATCCTGGACCCGGGGAATGGGACGGTGTGCGTCGACGAGAACAGGTGTCTGCGGGACAACGGCGGCTGCTCGCACCTGTGCTACCACGAGGACGGGAACGTGACCTGCGCCTGCCCGCCCGGCATGATCCTGGAGCCGCAGGAGCGGAGTCTCTGCGTGCACCGCCGGTGCGAGATCGCGAACGGCGGCTGCTCCCATTCGTGCCACGACGAGAACGGCAACGTGACGTGCTCGTGCCCGCCGGGGATGTCCCTCGTGGAGGACGGCGCTCTCTGCGTCCTCCGCGAGAACGGCTGTCTCGTCCGGAACGGCGGGTGCTCCGACATCTGCGTCTTCACCGGGGACTCGGTTTACTGCGACTGCCCGTCCGGCTATCGGCTGTCGCCGCGCGACAACGCTACCTGCGTCGACGTGGACGAGTGCCTGGAACTGTCGGACAACTGCACCCACCGGTGCCTCAACACCGCCGGGGGCTTCGAGTGCGGCTGCGACGACGGTTACCGGGGAAATCCGCGGGAGCCGACTCTCTGCGACGACGTCGACGAGTGCGAGACCGGGCTCGCCGGGTGCTCGCACACCTGCTCGAATCTGCCGGGCTCCTTCCGGTGCCACTGCCCGCTGGGATACGCGCTCAAGCGCGACGATAACAAGACCTGCGTCCTGGTGGACGGCTGCAAGCGCGACAACGGCAACTGTTCCCATCACTGTCATCAGGTAGAGGTGCGCGAATCGCCCGAATCGCGGCGATTTCAGGTTCGATTTTTCCGTGAAAGGTTCGAAACTGGCACGGCTCGATAATTTCGAATTATCGCCGGCTCGATTTCAAATCGGTCACGTCCTTCAATTGCCTTCATCTATATCGGTGAACGAATAAGCGAATAGGTCGTTGGAATTAAAAACCAGTCTTTCAAAATTATTTGTTTATTGACGACGAATTATACGTACAATATGTTCTTTTGTCAAAGAATTTGCACATTAGTTTATATATAATAATAATTATTATTATTATTTGTAAATTTTAATGGTTCTGAAAAGTGAATTTTAATAATATTATTATTATTATTATCCATTTATTAAACACGGGAAACATTTTCTTTAGTATAATATATATTTTTTTTCATATGGTTATACATAAGTTTTCAAAAAGGACTTAAGAATGAAATATTATAAATATAAATAATATAATAAACTAATACGATAAATTATTAAATAATAATATTAAATACAACAATAAGTAGTATACAGAATAAAACAGCGAAAAGGGTAGATTAAGATTATTTTCAAGTAAGGATAAGCGATTCAAGGGTTTAAATTTCCTGCGAGAGATCCGATGTATTCCAACGTGAAAAGTTGAATTATGAATTGAATTTCTGAGAGAGTCCACAAGTATGTTGAATTTAATTGATGCCGAAATATCTAAACTATCGATTACGTCTCTTACGCTAATATTTACAGTCAGATCTTATATTAAAGACGTCTCATCTTCAGACGTTTCGCCCGTGAAGCCGAAGAAACGAGCTGTGCGGCATCTGAGGAAATCTAAACTTAGGACTGAATATGAAAGCCGACTACTAATACCGAGGCTCGAATTTTAAATAGAATTTTCAATCGTACGAATCGATCGACATAACAAGTCAATAAATAAATGAGCGGGAAGTCGATAAATTCCGCGATTCTTGAGAGAAAATTATATAAATAACGGGAAACGGATCTCATGGAAATTTCGATTCGATTCGACCACGATGCGGATGCTTGATTCGCGCACCTCTGTCACCGCCAGGAGGAGGACACGAAGGATGGAGATCCGGTCACACGTTGCTCCTGCCCTCTCGGCTTCCGGCTGAAGCCGGACCGCAGGACCTGCGAGGACGTCGACGAGTGCGAGGAATTCCAGAACGACGTCGACGCCGGCTGCTCGCACACGTGCGTCAACACGGAGGGCGGTTACCACTGCGAGTGCCCGGCGGGCTACATCCTCATGCCGGAGGACAGGAAGAACTGCGTCGACGTGGACGAGTGTCTGACCAGCCGTCACAATTGCAGCCACGACTGCGTGAACCTGCTCGGCAGCTACGTTTGCGCCTGTTACCAGGGTCACTACCTGCACACCGACAAGTCCACCTGCCTGGACATCGACGAGTGCAAGGAGAGGAACGGCGGCTGCTCCCACGTCTGCACCAACACCATCGGCGGTCACTTCTGCTCCTGTCCGGCCGGCCACGAGCTGTCGCAGGACGAGACGACCTGCGTCGACACGGACGAGTGCAAGAGCGGCGCGGCCGAATGCGCGCCCACCTTCCAGTGCGTCAACACCCCGGGCTCGTGGGAGTGCGTGTGCCCGGAAGGACGAGTCCCGTCGAACGACTCGGGCAGCTGCGTCGAGTCGGACCGGTGTCGAGTGAGTGCCAATTGGAAAATAATAAGCGCGCCCTCGCAAGGGAAGTATCACTTACGGCGGTGATAAATTACTGTTGCTCGGTTGTTTTATCACTGCGAGTGCGAGTAATAAAACTGTCGTGCAACGGTCGTTCATCACCGGCCAATTTATCGCAGCCGATGTTGCTCCTTTGTAAGGATACACAGGGAAGATGGAATTTCGGGTCTGTAGATTAGATCTTATTGGGAATCTTTCCGGATTTTCGCGGTATGTCAGTCGGGACGCGATCTGCGCGCGTGCGAAATTTCTGTATTTCCCTTTGTGCTTCTCGGCTGAGCATTTTTTTCAAGATGAAATGGTTAGCTAACTTTAAAGATCTATCAATGCGTAAAGATCAATACGTAAGAATGCGAAAAAAGTGGAAGAAAAATACGGGAAAATCCGACGTCACGATCATTTCTCCGATAGCACGCATTCGTGTACGTCTATCGGAATATATGTGATATATATTCGCGAACGTGATACGTTAATATAAATAATTGATATAAGATATATCGAATTTAAAGTAAAAGGAATACGAAGGGTATTCAAAACCAATCGGCAAGTCTGCGAAGTTTAAGGATTCCGGCGTAAGAAGGTGCATAAGTAATTAAGGAGGTCCTGAAGCAGCCGTCGGAGGCGCCTCGAAAAAGTTACGCCGCCGGATCCATCTCATTCAATCCCGGGGTAATTTCGAGTAATGTCGGAAACGAAACTCGGCAGAATCCCCTCCCTCCTCGAATTTTCTCCCCGGGGGACACGTCTTAATCCTTCCGAAACGACCATCCGAAACACCGAAAAACTCTCGAGCGATCGAGCAACTCCCCGGATCGAACCCGGGCATTTATGAAGATGTCTCGTCCAGGTGAACAATGGCGGATGCTCGCACGCCTGCTTCCACGTCGCGGCTGGCGTTCGGCGATGCGGCTGTCCCATCGGCCTGCGACTCGATGCCGACGGCGAGGTGTGCGAGGACGTCGACGAGTGCGCGACCGAGAACGGCGGCTGCTCCGACGTGTGCATGAACTTCGAGGGCGGCTTCGAGTGCCGGTGCCCCGACGGATACCGCCTCGGGAACGACTCGAGGAACTGCCTCGACGTCGACGAGTGCGCGTCCGCGAACGGCGGCTGTACGGACGGCTGCGTCAATCTCAAGGGCGATTATCGTTGCGAGTGTTCGCCCGGTTACCGGCTGGCGTCGGATCGCCGGGGCTGCGACGACGTCGATGAGTGCGGGACCGGCAACGGCGGCTGCAGCCACACGTGCGTCAACACCGTCGGCTCCTTCCGCTGCGAGTGCCCGGCCGGCTACGAGTCAAACGGCTCGCACTGCTGGCTTCCCGATCCCTGCCGTCGTCGCAACGGCGGCTGCGAGCAGATCTGCGACGCCACGGCGAGCGGCATCGAGGTGGTGTGCTCGTGCAAGCCCGGCTTCCGGAAGGACGAGGTCGACGGGTCCGCGTGTCGCGACATAGACGAGTGCGAGGAACGGCGGCACGGCTGCGATCACATCTGCGTCAACAGTCCGGGCTCGTACGAGTGCAGGTGCAGGGACGGGTTTCGCATGGTGAACTCCACCTGTGTCGGTGAGTAAGAGCTCGGGAGTGTCGGGTAATTCTTTGATTAAAAATTACCCGGCCACCCGAAGGCTCGCCTGTTCTATTATATATTATCGACCGTCTTCGCGAGCTGCGAAATGTCCTTTTCTCGCGCGAGGTGAAGGTTTATAGAATGGATCGGATGGAATTTATACAGGGTGTCCTAGAACCGTCGCGTGTAAGTTAAGACAACGAATTCTCCGGAATATTCAATGACGAGAGTTTAAGTGAATAAAATATAGACCCTCGCGAAAATATCTCGCCGTTTTTATTACTCAAACCGAGAGACCGAGTGAAAGAGGATTATTAATGCGCTGTCACTCAGCAGCTGAAAGGTCGAGGGCGAGCGATCTCCGTGTGAACTTCCGTCTTGGAATGTCCCGAAGAATTCGTCACGTTAAGGACACACGAGGTGATCCTAGGACACACGGGGGGG